ATACATCAGACTTTCTAGTCAACAGAAAAGTCCATAAATAATTAGAATAATAATCCAAAAATAAAACATAATATCGATGTCCCATTGAACTCAAAATAGGAGATGTCCAAATATCACTATGAATAATATCGAAAGACATAGACGTACTCGTAGAAGAGGAAACAAATGACAACTTAATATGTTTTCCAAAAACACAAAATTGAAAAAGACTAGACTTAGAAAGATGATTACAAGCAATGCTTTTATTTTTCCAAAGAACATCTAAAATAGGAGCACCCAGATGACCCAACCGATCATGCCAAGGCTTAGGAGAAATGGCGGCAAAGGTTGAAGGATAATTTTGATTATTGATAGGAGTAGTAAGAGGGTAAAGATCACTTTGGCTATCACATCTCAGTATTGGCAACCCTGTCTGAAAATCCTTCACAGAAAAACCAAAAGGATCAAATTCCACAGTCACAGAGTTATCAATAGTGAATTTTCTAACCGAAATAAGATTTTTGATAATTTTGGGAGCATGTAGAACATTTGTGAGAGATAGGGAAGGATTAGGGGAAGGCAAGCAAATATTCCCATAGCCATGAATCGGGATAGTATGACCATTACCAACAATAATGCCAGGATGATTGCTCAAATTAAAATAAGACGATAAATTACCATTGGAAGATGTCATGTGAGAGGTAGCTCCGGTGTCCATGTACCATGATGGATCAGGGGGACTCAAAGACATAGTATGCATCGCCGTTTCAATATTTGTAGGAACATTAGAAGTGGACTACCCATTCCGAGAGGTCATGTAAGCCTGTTGTGGGCGTCACCCAAGAACGTCAGGTTGTTGTTGTTATCTTTGTGGTGTTGGACCCCGTGCCCACCTCTAGTTTGAATATGGGCATGGAGGAGCCCATTGAGGCATCCAAACCAAGGTGGGTAATTTGGCCAAGGTGAAGACCCCAACTGTGGTTGTGGACTCCCGCCAAACTGCTGAGGTGAAGACCCCCATTGTGGTTAATGTTGTGTACTCCTGTCAAACTGTTGTTGACCACCACTGCCACCCCTTGTACGACTGGATTTTCCACCGCTAGACCCGCGACCACTGCCACCAGATTTTTTCCATAATTCTTGTGATATCCAAATGGCTTCCCACAATGTTGCTACTGGTGTAGCTGGTTCGAATGTGAGGAATTTGAGTCATAAACGGATTGTGAAGCAACCACTATTGCCAACTTTGATCCCGTGACAACCTCCTTTGATAATCTGGCTTCCTCAAGTGTATGCACCGATCGATCCTGATAAAATGGAGGTAGGTGATCACTCTGCGGAATTAATGTCCCTACACCACGATATGCACTTGTGAGACCGGAAACAAGTTGAATGACAAGGCGACTCTCCGATAGTAGCACTCCAACTTTTTTCAACTGATCAACAAGGGACTTGAGACGTTGACAATATGCCGAAGCATTCGAAAAATTCTCCATCTTAGTAGTGAAGAATTCGACATCAAGGGTTACCACTCGGGAATGTTTGTTGTCTTGGAAAATATCTCTCAACCTATTCCAAGCATCCATGGTCGTGGCATCGGGTCTAATAATTTAATTGTATGTAACAGGTCATTGGAGATGGTTGCATAAAGCCAGGAAAGACCGCAACATCAAGAGTCGACCATAACAGTCATAGGTACCTTCTCATTGTCATTGGCAGGAGGAATAATGTGATGAATGACCTTATGAGAACGTACGGTAATTTTAAAAAGTTTTGCCCATGTAGAGTATTGGACATTCTCCATCTCAAAAGTGATGGAAATATCATTTCGTATATTGAAAACCGTAAGAGCCGGATGTAAATAACTCGTTCGTCATGATGGTGAGAAGAAAAATAGATTTTTGAAGAAGTGTAATTGCCCTAGAAATCTGATACCATAAAAAAATATATTCCTCAATTGATCTTATTTACTAACTTGGAATAAATATATTGTCCAAGTCGTAATCTTAGAAAACTAATTAGGTAACTAATAATATCATGCATATATTTAAAAAATTAATTATAAACTAAATATATGCTTACCTAAAATACAATAATAAAATATATTTACATGTATTTTAACAAAAATAAGCAATCATCTCACTTCGGACGTGTTTGGATCTATAAAATTACTTTTATAGATAAAATGAGAAAGAAGCTCCGAATGGAAAGGTATTGTTTATATCAATTGATTTGAAGATTTGAGTAGATAGATAGGTCAGATTTTACGTACAAACTTTACCTACTAACAAACAAAATGTGGAGAAAGTTTGATATAAAAAATAAATTCCTATATTATCCTTGAATTTGATTTTAATATTCATATATTAATCAATTATAAGAAAAGATATATTATTACTATTCATAATTAACCATTTATTCATTTATTTGGATGTTATTTTCAATGTTCATCTTCATCTAACCATTTTATTTATTTTTTTACTATATTTTAATTTTCTTTTCCTAAAAAGTGTATTAAATATGATAATCAATCTAAAAAGGATAACATATTATAATATAATTTATTTTATTTTATTTTTTATCTTTTTATATTATTAAGATTGATTAAATATATTATTATTAAAAATTATTGTTCTTTAAAAAATTAATGTTTAGAATAATTTTTAGAATCATAATTAATTATTTCTATTATATATTTAAAAATATTCACAAAATATAAAATAAAAATAAATTCTAAAATTTATTTTTTTATGGGAGGTTTATACAATTTTTTTTTAAATATAACAAAATATTATTTTCTTAAAATGATATTATTAAGGAAAAATATTTTATCAATTTTATTAATAATTAATCTTTATAAAAAATTATTATCTATAATATGTATATCTTTATATAGACGAAATTTTACTAATAATTTTTAATTTTACACATTTTTTCTATTTTTTTAAATTAATTTACAATTCTCACTTTTTAATTTTTTATTATTTTAGTCATTTATATTCTATGTATAATTATATCTAATTTTTTTATTTTTAATATAAAAATATTTTAATTATATATATATATATATATATATATATATATATTACTACTTGTTAACTGATTATATTTTAATTTAATTATAAATTATAATTTTTCAACATAACTTTAGAAATAAAACACTCTTGTATAATTTTAACTAATAGATTATATTATAATGATTTTACTACTCAATTATATGAATATAAATAATTAATTATATAAATATAAATAATCGATTATATTAAAAAAATAATATTATTATATTTATTATATATGAATTAATATTGAAATATAAAATATTTCCTTTTATATTTAATTATTTATAATAAAAATTAAAATATATTTAAATAAAATTTTAAATTTTTTAAATATATTAATCTGATAATCTAAATTATTAATAAATTTTATTTTTTTAACAATGTAATTTTAATGTATAATTTTATTTTTTATTATGATATTTTTATTATATTTTATTTTTAATTAATAAAATTGTACATAATTTATAACTAATCATTTAAATAATTTAAAATTTATTTTCAAATAATTTTAAAATAAAATATTTATGATTATAAAAAATAAAATTTAAATATATCTATAAAATATCACAAATTATTTTTATGATTTAAATATAAGTTATTTTTAATATATTTAAATTTTTATCTATATATAAATTAATTAATTTATATTAAATTATATCATCATTCTAATTTATATTTATTTCACCTACACGATAAGGTATCATGGTCAATATATTTGTTATTTTATTCTTTTTTATCCACTACATCAACCTCATGTCCTATCCGGTAATATTTTTATTCATTCCTCTCTCTTTCTACAATATTATTTTACTTCCCATTTTTTTTCTCCACTTCTTCCCCCCCCCTAAATTCATTTCCAAATCCAAAGCATTAAACCTAATTTCATTAAATTAAATTAGATAGATGAAAAGGAAATAAGTTGATACTTTGTTTTAATGCATTTAGGTAATTATTTAAAAACCAAAATGAAACCTTTTTAAAAACAAAGAAGCTGTAAACAAGATTAAAATGAACGGTCTTGGGTTCAACCCTGAACACTTTTTATTTTGTTTCAACCTCTAACTTCCATATTAACTGCAAATAAGTTCAACGTGTTTTTGTTGCTATTGAGCAGGTTGATTACATCCTCGGGAAAAATCCCATGAAAATGAGCTACGTAGTGGGGTTTGGAAACAAATTTCCCAGACATGTTCATCATCGAGGAGCATCCACACCAAATGATCACAAACATTACTCCTGCACCGGGGGTTGGAAGTGGCGTGACACCTCTAACCCAAATCCTAACACCATCACAGGAGCAATGGTTGGAGGGCCAGATCGTTTTGACCAATTCCATGACTCTAGAAAAAATTATAACTTCACAGAGCCAACCTTGGCAGGAAATGCAGGACTAGTTGCTGCGTTAATTTCCTTGACAAGTACAACAGGTAGTGGCATTGACAGAAACACCATCTTCTCAGCCATTCCACCTCTTGGGCCACAAAACCCTCCTCCTCCACCACCTTGGAAGCCAATCAAAAGATGATTTTATTACTTGAAACCAACCAAACTATTTACATTTTTATTATTCTTATCGCGTTCTGTTGCTCTTCACACTTTCAATTTTATTTTATTTTTTTCAACTTATACTCATGCATATTCATAAATGACTTGGCCAATACAAACTACTTTTGATTGTAACCATAATATGTTTAAGCTAGATTGTAACCATAATATGGCCAGCATGCAGAATTGACAAAACCATTATGCAGAATTGCATATGTGAATCACATGCAGCATCCAAGTTTCATTTAACCAGATATTCCAATTCACGGTACAAAATTAATTGGAATCCCTTGTAAGATTGGCTGCCTCCATTAGAATCAAGAAAAAGAAAAGATAGAACTAAACTTCACATCTTGCTACACTTTTCCCGCACTTCATTATTACATTCATACATTTGGTGTCTGCCCTGTTATTACATTACTCAAGTTTGTAGGCATAAAGCACAAGACAAGAGTCAGAGGGAGCATAACTGAGGGTTGAATAATAGCCACTGGCACAACTACCACTGTCACTGTCACAACCCTCATTACCTTTCTCCTCTCTTTCACTCTCAGCCTCCACAGGCCCTGGCTTGAAAATGAAAAGGCCAGGCCCTGGGCCAGTCACACTAAACAACCAGTCATGCACATCCCAGAACACTTGCACAGGTTGCTTGTTGACCAAAACTGTTTGGTTACCCCTAAACTTCCACTGCAAGTTCTTGACATGAATCAACACAATCCCATCAATGCTGATCCACATCTCAGGCTCTTTGTTCCCAATTGTTGAGCTCTCCACCACAATGTCATTCTCTTTTCTCTTCTCATCAAACCTGGCCTTGGTTGCAAAACTTTTCTTGGCAAAAACACTTTCTCTCTTCACCAACAGTACTGACTCAACGATGCCAGGCCTCATCTTCATTCTCTTGTAGGCCTTCTTCTTGTAATCCCCCAGCAACAATGCAACCTCTTCCTCTGACACCATTGCCACGTAGTAATCGCTGCTCGGCTCGGGGCAGCCACCGGAGAATCTTGCCGAACGGAGGTCCCAATAGATCTCCACCTGGTGACCATCAATCTCCATAGATTTGTACCCTTTTTTGTTCCAAAAGTACCACGGCTTGACGTCTATCTTGCAAGTATAACTGAACTCACCTCCTGTGTTATCAATCTTGAGGTTAAACGTGTGGTTCATAAGGTTTTTGCACCACAACACTGACACGTTTCTCCAACACCCTGCAACATTGGCTTGGTAGATGTATGTCACCGTGCTTTGAGCAGTTTTGTTAGGCAAAGGCAAAGGCTCTTCTGATATTCTCTCCACCAAAGGTGGTCCTTGGCTTGATACTGATTGTGATCTAAAGGTAAGGTGGAAAGCCATAATGCATGTTTCCTAAGGGATTCAGAGATCAAACCCCTTCTGGAATTAACAACAAAAGTAGTTATATGCAATATGATTCAATTTTTTATGATGATATCCCCCTTATTGTGTGTTCTCAAGCTAAAGTTTTTGTTGATTTCTCCTCCTTAATCATGGAACTCACCTTGTAAGCTTCAATAAGAATTGAATTGAATGGCATTAATTGTAGACACCCACTGATGAGGAGGAATCCATATTTCATTCAACATTAACAAAACCATGGACAAAAATCATGGATATCGTTGGGTAATAGAAGCTGAAAGATTTGACAGATAGACACCTCTGCAATGGTGCTAGTGATTTGAGAGATAATTCTTCCGCCAAATTTTTTTTGGCCAAGAAAGAATGATTAGCGTGAAAGTTTGTTTTTTCTTTGGACAAAAAGTCTCTATCTAGAAGCCACAAATAGAGAAATAACCGAAAGAAAAGGAGGAGAAAGAACATTGTTATATATGGAACCTCTTCCATTGTTTGTCATATGTGGAGAAAAAATAGGCAAGTTCAGTTATGATCACATAAATATAATACATTTGACATTTATAATATTATTCTCACATGCTTTTGTAAATACTATAGTATTTTAAAATATAAAAATATATGTAAAAAATATTTTTTAACTCATAATATAAATGATTCATTGTAATATATATATATATTATTTTTTTCTTCATATAATTTTCATCGAAGTTACTATAAAGGATATTTAATGGAATAAGTTACAATTACATCTCCCAAAGTATATTAATATTAATTATATTTAGAGACATACGGGGCCTACACGGCCCCACTTCAAATAAACTTTTATATATATATATATATATATATATATATATATATATATATATATATATATATATATATATATTATTTTTTAAAAACTAAATAAAAATTATATTATAAATATAAATAAAATTTAAATTTTTTATTTATAATAAAGATCATATTTTTTTATACAGTTTCTCACCTATATTTTTTTCTCTTTTTTTCTTCTATTTTCATATTTTTATCTTTTTTCTCTTATCTTTTTTTTTCTACTCTTTTAAGACAAAGAGTAAACAAAATTAAAGAGATATCTTATAATAATAACTTTTTAAAGTAAAAAGCAGTAAATAAACTTTTTTTTATTATTATAACAATTGGCATACATGGTAACAAAGGCAATATATTAAGTAGAAGGTTAATATTTATTCTTATATAAGATAAATATTTGAATCGGTGTTATGTGTAAGTATGAAGTATCTGATTTTTTATTTAACAAATTTCATACCTCAGTTATTTTTGCTTGTTGGGTGTTTGTTGAAATATGTAATTAAAAAGTAAATTCTTCTACTATGCTTTTATTTGGATTGGGAAATGGACATGAGGGCGTGAAAAAAAGAAAAAAGAAAAAAAGGAGAGTAGAAAATAAGATTATTAGATTAAGATTGTTTTTGGAATAGAGTATGAATTTGAGAGAGCGGAAATAAATGGATTAAGAAAAAGTTTGTTAGAAATGAAAAAAAATAAAATAAGAGTTTCTGAATTGTAATTGATTTGATAAATTAAAAAAAATAAGATTTAATTGGTATAATAATTAGATTATAATTTTGTCATAAACTTAAATAAATATTTGAGAATAAAATATAAATTAAATAATAATGTTAAAATTATATATGATATATTATTTAAAATATATTATTATTTAATTATATGATTTTATTATAAAATAAAATGAGTTGGAAATTACTGATAAATGTACCCTTTACTGAACATGGCACAAATTTGGATAGAATTATTATAAACAATAAGAATACTGTAGACACAATTATACATAGAATAACAAGTTCCTGAGACTATGGGAACAATTTTAGGCCAATTTATCAATACATTCACTAAATCCGTTTTGTTTGGGAGTAAAAATGGGCGAATTTGGTATTTTGCAAGTGTAACTTAATTCATAAAAAAACATAAGTTAGTTCCTAAATGTTATAATTTAATAAAAATAAAGTTACTATGTTGTGCTAAATTTTTTTTAAAATGATATTTTAATAATAACAAAATAATGCCATAAAATTTAACTATAAAACACTTTTTCTTAAATTATATTTCTTTTATTTTTCTTAAAGATTAAATTCAACACGTCTCACATTGAAGACGAGATAAATTGGCAATTTATGAGTAGAAGAAAGTAGAGAAAAAAGAGGTAAAAAAAAAAAAAAAAACAAACCTCTGCTGATAAAGGAACTGTCTCCACCTTATGAGACTCCATCATCGCCACCCTACCGAATCCTTAAAATTTATAAAAAAGCAGAAAAATGACAACAAAGACGGAATCAAACAAAAGCACAGCAAAACAACACAGAGAAAAAAAAAAGCATGGTAATTTAAATTGACAATGGTGAAGAGATGGAAATGGCATAGCTTGATGAAAAGAGAGAAAGGAGGGAGGTAACAAGAAGAAGAAGGAGCAATAATTTTATGAACCGATTTTGGGTTAGGATGAGATTCAATCATGAGAGAATCCATTTTCCTTCGTTAAAAATTGATTCTAGTCACAAAAAATAGAAATTATTAAAACAAGGAGAATTGATTTTTGTTCATTGAGAATTGAATCTCATCCTAAACGAGAATCATTATTCATGAACCAGAATTGATTTTATTCATGAACCAGAATTGATTTTCATCTCGCAGAAAATCGATTCACTCTCACCCACTCACCAATACTCACCCTTATGCAAACGAGAACCACTTTTAACCTGAATGCAAATGAGCGAGTAATGTATAACTGGTCTCCTCTGACACGTATTTAATGGCATCCAACCTCCATCTACCATGGTCCATGTCGTCTCCATTGTGGTTGAACATGCATGCATGTGGCTATACAATCCTCTACAATAATTCCTTGGCACGTTCGAACAAGTCTCTACATGCATGCAAAGTTTTATAAATGACCATTTTTTTGGATGTACAGTTGCTTCGCGTGAAGATTGAGAGGGAGAAAAACATAAATGCACATTCCATGAACTATCTTCGACACAAATGGCATCTAGAGGGGGTGAATATATGCACAGTTTGATCACATATAAAGCGAAAACGATAATATAATAAAAAAAAGAGAAAGATATAAGGGAAAGAGAACAACACACAATGATTTATACTGGTTCGGGTATAGCCAACCCTACATCCAGTTCCCAATCAACTCTTATACAAAAGTGACTCCCAATTCACTATCTTTCAAATTCAGTTTACAAATTACAATCAACTCAATAGAAAAACCAGTAAAAAGTAAACTAATTAAAAAGACAATCACCTCTTTAGAAACCCACTAAGGATGAACACCTCCCTAGAATCCCACTAGGGATGAACACCTCCTCTGAACAAATCAAAGGATGAAAAAACACCTCCTTAGAATCCCACTAAGAATGAACACCTCCCTAGAATCACACTAGGGATGAAAACCTCCTTTGAACAAATCAAAGGATGAAAACATCTCCTTAAAATCTCACTAAGGATGAACACCTCCTTAGAATCACACTAGGGATGAAAAACACCTCATTTGAAACCAATACACAAAGGTGAAGGTAATAAAAATAAGAACAGTCACACCTGGGTAATGGAGAAAACAAATTGTAGAAGCCTGTAAAATGTCAATCTCCAAGAACAAGTGTGATTAACAATGAGAGCACAAAAGGCAGTAGAAAAGAGAGTTTTCTCAGAAGGTGTAAAATATCTCGGTGGCCTTACTCAGAATTCTTTTCTCAAAACTGATTGAATATAAATTGTATTTTCGAATTCTGTAATTGTGTTTTTTTTTTCATCAAAACTTAATTAAATAGAAAAATAACATCAGAAAATGGCCGTTGGAATTAATAATATCATAGAGAAAATCAGAATGTATTAAAAAACATTTATTCTTTAAAATGAATATATTTTTCAAATTTGAATTGCCATAATTGATTATATTACCAGTATAATCAATTATGACAGAGAAAATCATTTTTCCATTTCTGATGCATCATAATTGATTATGACAGAGAAAAATATTATGTTATGAATTTTATCACACTTGTGCTTTGGAGGCTTATGCATAATATTACTTCATCAACTTGTACCTCCATAATCAACTTGTACCTCCATATCCAGTATTCTAAGACTATGTCTAGTCTTCTTGGGCTTGCTTGAATCATCATCTCTATAAAAAATGTTAGACAAATGGCATCTAGAGGCGGGGGGGGGGGTGATAGATGCACAAATTAAAATAGATGTCAAATTAAAAATTTATTTGTGAATCAATAATTTGTTTGCACACAGATAAAGCGGAACAATAATATAATCAGGAAAGAAGAAAGAGATAAGGGAAAGAGAAGAACACATAGAGATTTATAATAGTCAACCCTACATCCAGTTCCCAATCAACTCTTAAACACAAGAGTGACTCCCCATTAGGGATGACAATTAAACCCGTACTCGTGGGGACCGACCGTCCCGCCTCGAGTTTGACTGGGAAAACCCGAGTTGACCGGGGTCGGGTTCGGGTTTTCCCGCTTTAAAAAGTCGGGCGGGGCGGAGACGGGTAATGCAATCCCCACCCCGCCCCGTCCCCACCCCGACTTTATATTTAAATTTAAATTTTAAAATATTAATATTTTAAAAGTATTTCATTTTCTTTTTCTATTACATATAAGGTTATTTTTTTATATTTCACCAATTTTTATTTTTCTTCTACCCACTTTTTAATTTTTTTTATCTTTTTCAATCTTTTATATCAATTAATTTATTATATTATTCTCTCCCTTATCTTTCAGTTTTTCACATTTTCTTAGTCTCTCCCATCAATTTGTTTTTTTTTCAATCTTTTCAACCAATTTGATGAACACAAAGTTAATCTTTTTTCTTTATCTTTTTCTAAATATTTTACATCAATCTTAGTAGTAACTAATATTAGTTTATTTATAATTTATATTTATTATGTCATATTTTTT